ATCCTTTATTTTTTTTTTTCAAGAAATAAAATGTATATTCCGAGTATACGTGTTTGAGAACATGGTCTGTTTCTTCACAAACAAAGAAAAAGGAAGAATTTTATCAAAAAAAAAAAAAAAAGGAGAAGGAAAAGAGAAAAAGGTGTTTAAGAGTGAAAGGTTGAGCATTTTCCCTTGCATTTTAACACATATTCAAGTATTTCCATAATTTCATGGCTAGGAGAGCTAAATGTGATTCACAAAGTTTTGAAGGGAGGGGAAGATATGGAATTTGGAGAGAAGTCAAAGGTTTTGGGTCCCAGGGCAAGGGGAGAATCATATCACTTTTATCTCCGACCTGGAGAAATCGTGTCCATGTTCTTGTTTTTTTGGCAATTTGTGTCATCCATGAAGCTTTTGTAGTCCAAGGGGGAGACATTTTGGACTGCATATTTTCACATTAATAATGACAGTTTGTACACTCTAATGTCTAAAAATTCTTCCCTATCTGTGCCCCCAAGACCCCATATTTCCTTAACATTTTTTTATCTCCATTCATTTCATTAAAGAAATTAAACTCATATTTATACACTTAATTGAAGAATATGAATATGTGACAGCCACGTGCAACTTCTTCAAGATTTCCTCATGCGTGTGGTTTTTCAAAGACTTGGAAAAATCCTTAAAATCTAGGTAGTATTCTATTTGATTTTGTCTTTCCTTTTGGTACATTCAGGACTCTAAGACAGAGGAGAGAGCCTGGTAGCAGATAGTTGAAACACGAGCTTTAATGGTGCGTGCCGACACTCCTACTGTAAATACATATTTATACAAATATATAAAGCATCAGATAATATGTGTGATTAAACAAAGTTGATAGATAAGGATTCATGCTTAAACAGCCGAAAGCAAGCACAAGATATACGTTCTGAAACTGGTATTTTAATATAAGGGTTCAGGCTTTGCTTTATCAGTAGAACAAGAAACTAGCTATTCATTGAACTTGGAAAAGGAAGTGTATAGTAGTTATACACATCAAATTATATAGAATAAATGAACATGACGAAACCAGAAACATTATTCTCGTTTAGCACAAGTTGTGTTCGACATGTATGATCGAACTCAGATGCTTCTGTACCTGGTATAAATTAGATACCAAGCAACCGCTACCAGAAGCTATTGAGATGGAGAAAGGGCCACATTTCAAGCCTTAATGTTTGTTGTTTCTCATTTAAGACAGTGTTTTTGTTGTTTCTGATCAATTGAGGATATCCCTGGTAAATGCTATTGGTTGAGGATGATTCAAATGCTTGGAGAAAAGCAAGAAAAAATGGGGTGTAATTTGTTGGGGCCATGTGACAAAAGGGATATTTCATATGTGTGTAGTTAGAATGTTGGGGGTCATATACTTGGAGAGATCAAATAGATTAAAGACCCCCCTTTTTTTTAAGCTCTCATCACATGTTTGTGATTCCATTGCCTCCTGGGACACTCAATGTGAGGCCCAAAGAGGGGAAAAAAGAAAGTTCTTAAATACCATATCTCACTGCCTTGGATTCTAACTAAAAGTCCTTTAAGCATGTGATTTAGGGTTCTTTGACTCAGGGCCACCTGCTATGGCCAATGCTAGTCAATCTGATTGTTCTAGTACATTTGACCCTATATTCTGTGATCATAAGGACTGTTTGGCCAAGCATAAAAAGCAAGTAACTTATACAACCCCGTCTAATTAACTGCAGTGCTAATATCATTTCAAGGAGAGAAAAGCAACTTTCTGAAAAGGTGAAATCAAATTGTTGGAAGTATGTAATGATCAAAAAAGTTTCCAGAAAATGGCATAAATTGTAGCGCAAGGCACGTTTGAATTATACTGTCTTCACTTTCAAGCACTGTTTTATTCATGATAGAGGTTTCCAAATAGCAACCTTCCACTTGTTTATCTGCTAATGATGATTCATAGACACAACTCCCTGACTCTTTCTCAAACAGAAAAAGTGTTTGGAGCTAAATTTATGCAGCTGCTTAGCCCATAAGGGATTGTCTAGCAAAAATGGAAATCTGATGAAGATCTTTACACTAGCTCAAAGAGAGAACAAGGGAAGATCTTTGCACTTGCTCAAAGAGAGAATAAGTTTACAAGATTAAGGAATAAATATGTGAAGAGCAAGTGGGTTTCAGCACAAGACTTGCATATCCAACCTAAAACCAATAAGCAATATGTGGAGTGCTTTCTTTGCATTTAACTCATATCCTTCTTTGTTATATTTTCAATATGAGATTTTTTTACTTTAACACGCCTTAAGGAGCAGGCTAACATTAACATCAAGTCCTGTCATGTGGATCTCAAATTACAGACTAGAGAAAATATAAAATTTCTTAGCTTATCGTGGTCAAGGAAGCCTGTGTTAGTATCAAATTAATAAGTAAAACTATCACATTCTTCCATAACAGTAAATATATGGACTGGCATCTTCTGTAATTTTCTTTTCGAGAGAAACCCCGGTTTCTAGGGGCAAGATATGGGGATTTGAAGTCAGATCCAATAAGTTCTTATGGGATTTTGGGTTTGAATCTTGAATTTCATTCATTCAACCATTAATTAAGTTTAATTATTATGCCATCACAGAAAGTACAATTAAAAACAAATATGATGATTGTTATAATATTAATGTTATAAACAAATTACAAAGATCACAAAGAAAAGAAAAAAAGGTCTGAAAAAGAAACATAAGAAGACATAAATAGTTTGAAGAGACAAAAGTGAGGTATGATGTTAGAATTATTCATGATGACTTACCTGGTTTCAAGATGTTTGCATTGTTTTTCCTCTCATGCTGGAGTCCATTTTCCAGTGAGTTTCATGGCAAACGATCACATGCATATGGTTGCTTTCTGTATGACATCTTGAAGCTACTGAAGGAGGAATCCAAAGGGATAGCATGATCCAAATTATGGGAAGCAGGAGAAGGTTTGGATCAATGCGATCCCTTTGGATGCATCCTCTGGTAGCAGTACAATTAATCAAGCTGCTCTCTTCTCCACCTTCTTCTTCTTCTATTCTTCTCCTACCTTTCTCTCCTTCTCTCTTATAGAGGAAAGTGCTTTGAGGTGAGACTTCAATATAAAAGAGGGTAATAGTGCTCAAACAAAGACTAAATGTCCCAACTTATTAATTTACTTTTAAAAAAATAAAAAATTACTTTGGGGGTTTCTAAAGATTGGCAAATCATCAAGAAAATGTTTTGAAAAGATATTTATTTATTTGTAGACCCCATTCTCTAATAAACCAGACACATGGACAAGGTTTTGTAGTAGTAGTGGGTAGGCTATCCCTTCTTAGAAATTCCCAACAAGTTGGTTGGCACCATTAATAATTTTTATTTTTGATGTGTGCTTATTTTAATGACGGTTTGTGGTCCTCTCCAAGTTCTTTCTTCCACACTAAACTCCCCTTTATCCTTCTTTTCCAAGAAATAAATCCCTATACATAAACCATAAGCCAGTGTGTGTCCATATATATGTAAATCAATAGAACGATATGTATCATCTCAAATGATTAACTGTATATTTAGTCGAGTTTATACCTATTAACTTCTAAATTTTTATTGATAAAAAAAAAAAATGCAATATACAAAAGTCAATGTATTTGATTTTACATATTATTAGTTTTCTGTGTCATCTTTTTACTTCACTACTTTTCATGTTTATCATTTTCTAGTTTAGATCCCAACGTCCACAAAGTGAGAAAGAAACCTGATATAGCTACTTCTTCCATCACTGATATCATCCTTCTGCAGTTCATGTGATTTTGAACTCAGAATTATGGAGGTGAAAAACATAAGCTGCTACACACCCACTGAGCATAGTTTGAAAAGGATTCATCTGTACCATCTGATTGGCCATATGAAAGATCATGAAGAGTGGTGTTAGATCTTGTCCACACTAGTGAAGCACATAAGGACCCCTTCATTCCATAGTGCACAGACTTTTCTAATGTGCTATGCAGACCCCACCACCCCCATATTTACTTCATCTCTTAGTGAAAAGGGGTAAATGTGGGTTGTTTATACTGTCTTCTCTGATTCTGATTTGAATGTATTGTTTATTGTTGCACCTTGGTGAGGACATATGTCCCTTTTTTTTAGGACACATCCTGACCTTGGTAGAACAACCCTACCATTTACTGCTCTCTTCCTTTGTTCATATGGTATTAATCTTCCTCATCCAAATACATTCATTCTTGTTTGGATTCAGTACTGTATTGGGGAATGGACCCTGCAATTCAGTTTTGGTACTCAATTGGCCTTATTCATAATGAATTATATATGTTACGCCTTTTTGGCTGTTCTTAGAAATGATATATTGTGGATTAATCTTAAAATGGGTTAATAAAACTTGCAATTATCATTTTGGTGGTCCTAAAGCATTCTAACATCTACATGACTATTCCTTTATTAGGTATTTTAGGGTTTGGACCACAAATTGCTGGATTCATGATTCTCTTCAAGATGGAAAAAATGTTCATTGCTTTTGGTCATCACCCCCTTTATAATTTGTATTTTTTCTTCCCTGCCATGTTGATTCATATGAACTGTTGGTAGCTGGGAGTGAACTTTTTCCCCTCTATGCAAGTGTGCAAGATCAGACATATCTTCTTGGTTCTTTGAACCAAAAGGGACCTGAATTTGATATATGACAATTACATAGCTATCCCTACTTTTAAGTAGATCCTTCACATTAAATTACCAGGGAGTTTGTTCCAGACTTCTAGAGAGCATATAGACTTCGGCATTTAAAAGAGCAAAAATGTCATTCTTCTTTTCCTTTTAGAATTAAACAAAAGAAGAAGAGTAACCACATAGTATTGCAATTGGAGACCAAAGACACTTGAGAAGGTTTTAGCTAGATTCAAATTATAGGATTTTGATATGGGTTATCCTCTATTATATATCACACACAATATACGAAATAATTAGAAGTATATCAATTAAAAAGTATTCCTAAATTAAGAAGTTAGGATTTGGTAATGACCTTGTCTGATCAAAGATGTAGATTGTTGGGTTTCTGATCAGTACATAGAGTTTCAGTGGTCGCATGTGATCACAATTAAGCAAGTTTTTCAATTTTTCAAAAAAAGACAATTCAATTAGTGCTAGAGACACCCTCTGCCCCCACCCCTCTCCAATCTTGCCCCGTTTGTTTGGGATGAATGGCTTTCAATCTGGTTAAATCAGTAAGAAGTGGGTCATAGAGTGTCTGTCTCATAAGAAATTAGGGTTCTTCCTTTTTCCGACGGCCGGGCCCTTAATTCTTATGGTCAAGTTTCTTGTTACTAGCAAAATGAATTTGAATATTGAATGTGATATTAGTTGTCATTATCAATCAGTTTAGCCTCGATACTATTCTTTGGACCATGAATATGGATGAATTTAGGTCTAGTTTTGAGTCATCATCAAGGTAGCAACTTGGAAAATTTGAAATTAAATGTCCCCTCTACTTTGATGCCAACGTTTTATATTGATGCTTCCTTCACACCATGGATTCAGTAAATGGGAAATTCTTTGAAAAGAAATACAGTCCACAACATTTTATACCACGTTTACGTATAACCGTGGCATATTAGACTTTTTGGTTCGAGAGAGTGCGCCTGTTTCCCACTTTGGGCAAGACATTATGCAAATCCAAGTCATCTCAAAAGGAGGATGCAATGCCACAAAATTTTCACACCTACCCATGTGTGGTCCTCTTAAGTTGCATTTTTTAGCATAGGAAACTTTGGTCCATGCACTTTGGTTGGTTGGAAACGAAGAAACATCTCTTTTGTTTATGTCATTCTGCTCCTTCTATAATGCTGGATTACCCAATGCCATCCCTTCCTTTTTCCCTTCCATCTTCTTCCATCTCTTTAGCTTTAAACCCAATATGCTTTCCAAACCACAACGAATTCATAAAGAAAAAAAATGCCTGACATATCTAATAGAATATAATATCAAACAAAAAGAATGTCGTTCTTTTTATTGCAACTTTTGTTGTTATTATCCTATATTGATTGAGATGGAAATGTTTTCTCGTTTTATGTTTGAATTCTTTGATATTAATTTTAAATTAAGATTTTGTAATTAATAAGTAGTATCGTATTTAATTAAATTTTTATATTTAATAGACTGCTAGTTGGCATAAACTTTAACACAAATCTTTTACATGATCCCAACGTTGTGATAAATTTAGCATCTTTCCATTAATAATGAGACATGAAAGACAACCTAACAGCTCACTAAAGCTTAACCAGGAAATTGAATAATGTTCTCTTCTTTACGGAATGGAAGAGACTCCCACAATTTCGTGTCATATATTAAGGTAAAGATTAATTACTACAATTTTATTCAGCAAAATAGATAATTAAGATTATGAAAGATTTCAAAAAATAACTTAATTGTTGGTTTTATAATTTATATCTTTACTCCAAGTTGAAAGGAAGCTCGGGGATGGAATAAAAAAAACCTACCAAAATTACATAGATTAGAGGGAATTATGCTGTGAGATATAAATAATATGTAGTGGATTAATGATGCTCCGAATGATTAATTATACAAGTCAACTCAACACAAAAATTGGATGCAATTGAATGGCGTGGGACATTCATCATTAAAAGGGTTAGTGCCACTCTTTGTTGTGTTGTACCATATATAGATTGAGTTCTTGGGGTACTTGGTTGGTGGCTTCATCATGACTCATGAATGACTTGCTTGCTTTAAGCCCCATTTAATATTTACCCCAACAATAAACTATGTACTTTGACATTGAAACGGTGGCTCAATTAATTAAAATTTTGAAATTTAAATTTAAAAAATTTTATATTTAAATATTAAATTAAGTGAAAAGGGGTGTAAGGATAAGAAAGGCAATCCCTCTTATTTGGTTTATCAAAAAATTTATTAAAAAAGCTAATGAATTAAATGATTCATTAATCATTTTTTTTTCGTTAAAAGTAAAAAATTTTAAATTTAAATTATATAATATGCGGATAGGGTGAAATAAAGAATAGGAAATAGTTGTCTTTTATTACGAAACAAAAAAAAATTTACTAAAAAAAATTGAGAATGTAAAATTTAAAGCCAATGTATAATTAAAAGTTACATAAATACTTAGTATCATTAATAAATCAACATATATAAGTGATTCATTAAGATTATTAAAATAATTTTATAAATATTCTTACACTATTTTTTTTTTTCATGTTAACCTGAAAACTTTTTATATTTTTTAAAGAATTTAAATTAAATTATCAGTTCGTTCCTAAAGTAGTTTGCGCCCACTTCCCAACTTCAAAAAAGTAATTAACCTAATTGAATTCAATTCAATTCAATCCCGGGCTAAAAATAAAAAGAAGCCGAGCCATGTTCTCAAACACCCTGGGCCTGGGCCTGGATTCTAAGGTCATCTCAAATTCTTAATTTTTATGAATTTGATGGGCTCATTTATTTAAGCCACAGCCCAATATGAGAAAACTGAATTGGGCCTTAACCGTCCATTCTAAATGGGGTTAAAACCTCCTTTAGCCCTTTCCCTTAATAAATTTATAGATTTTAGCCCCTTAAGACACTTTTAGCCCATTAACTTAATAAGTTTATATATTTTAACCCCTCACCTTATATTATGACACTTTTAACCTCTTAACTATACGAATTAAAGAAAATAACACTTATTTAAAATCAGGTTATAATATTATATTAATTCTGTTAACTTTATGAGTTGATTATTAACGTTTCGTTAGCATTCCGTTAATGAAACTAATAAATAAAATTAAATTTAAATTTTATATTTTCTATAATAGAATGTTAACGAATACTAATAATCAGTTAATATAGCTAACAATAATTAACAAAACTAATAGAATGTTATAATCTAATGATAAATGAGGGTTATTTTCTTTAATTCGTATAGTTGAGGAGTTAAAAGTGTTATAGTATAAAGTAATCAGTTAAAATCTATAAATTTATCAAGATAAAAAGTTAAAAGTGTCATAATATAAGATAAAATGTTAAAACTTATAATGTCATAATATAAGATAAAAGGTTAAAACTTATAAATTTATTAAAGTAAATGGTTAAAAATACGGTTTTTCCTTAAATGGGGAGGCCACAATAAAAGGGTATATGCGTCACTGCATAAAACGCGAGTCCATTTTCGTCAACTCCGAAAGTAGAAGGCTCAAAAGCGGTTTCTTTGGGGTTGCGCCCACCAAATAACAGAACCCAATTTCCTCAATTCACCCACGGAGTTACACTTATTTACAGAAAAGACCTCTGTATTCTTTCCCGAAAATTCGCCCAACAACTAGGGCAGACACGTCATTCAGCTACCCCTTGTTGTGTCCCACCACAAACGCAGGTCAACAGGAGTCAAGATGCGGCAGCGTTTTGGTTTGTTTGAAACAAAAGCAGGGACATGAGGGTCATTTTGAGAAAAGAACCCGAAAGATTTGGCCTCTGATTGTAATTTCAGTTTCCTTCACTCAGCAGTTAGGCAGGTATAACACTTTCTATAAAGAGAGGGGAAGGAACCGCCGGAAACCAACGAACCGACACCGTACGGCGGCGATGGAGGAAGATAAAGACAACGACCATAAGGAATCGCCGGGTGATGGGGGTGAGTCGGAACTCGGTGGGAGTGGCGGCGGTGATGGGGCTGATGCTGGTACTGGCACTGGTACAAGCAATGGCAGAGTGAAGGGACCGTGGTCGCCGGAGGAGGACGCGGTGCTGAGTGGACTGGTTACCAAGTTTGGGGCGAGAAATTGGAGCCTGATCGCCCGGGGAATTCCCGGTCGTTCTGGTAAATCTTGTCGCCTTCGGTGGTGGAACCAGCTCGACCCCTGCCTTAAGCGCAAGCCTTTCACTGGTAAAAAGTCTCAAATCTTTACATTTATTTGCGCATTTCCCTTGGTAGTTTTGGTGGGTATTTGATGTTTTGAGGTTTCTGGGACATGGTCTTGCAGAAGAGGTTAGTTATGTTTCCCTTATTTTGTCTTGCTGTGCTTTAATCATTTAGTCCGAAAGAGTGCATTTTGTGATCAATGTAATCAAGTCCCTGCGTTCAGATCAGTTGTGCTTTTGCCAGTTTTGATTGCTTTTGTTTTTATTCTATGTAATTTATTTTAATATTTGAGTTGGTTTTGATTCATTTCGGTGTTGGGAAGCAGTACTTTTATCATTTAGTCCAAAAGAGTGCATTTTGGTAAATGCCACTGATGATTAAAGTGATTAACTGATTATTTGATTGTTTTTATTGTGTTTGGATCAGTTGTGGTTTTTGTGGGTTTTGATTGCTTGGATTTGGGGGGTGGGTACTTGAGGTTTTCTTGTTCGGGTTAGGACTTTAGGAGCTCCTGTTTGATTCATTGTGTTGTGTGGAATTGTTATACTTTGGCAAATGCTATGGTGGAAGTAACGAGGATTACAAATGAACCAGCATTGTTTTTCGCATTGTGTCTTTCTGGAGTTGCTTTCTGACACGAGTCACACATTGTTACTTCTTTTGCTGTTATGTTGCTGTCAGGAATCCATTGTTAATAGTAGTGCCTTCGTTTCTCTTCCTCTTCTGCTTTCTCTGTTTGTCCAAATTGCCTTCTTTTGGGGTGAAAGAATTAAATGTGAAAAGGAACTCGATTTCCTTTTATTTATTTATTTTTTTATCTCGCATCTGTTTCAGAGTTTAGGTCTCAAGTCTCAAGTCACTAGACAAATGGGTTTCTGCTGACTCTGGATCAGATTTAAATTTGGCCCTTATGAACTTACACTCGTGATCATGAAATATGTATACCTTTTTCAGATGAGGAGGATCATCTCATAATTTCAGCTCACGCAATCCATGGGAACAAATGGGCTGTCATTGCAAAACTCCTGCCAGGTAGAACAGATAACGCAATTAAGAACCATTGGAATTCTACACTTAGACGCAGATGCATGGATCTGAGTAGGAGGCCTAAACTGGGACCTGTTGAAATGACGGAAGATGGAAGCCTTGAGAGAACAAAGGCATCCTCAGAAGAAACAATGTCAATTGAAGATATCAATTCTTTCAAGCCCCCTGAAGAAATACATGTTATGGTAGATGATAGATCCCATCAGCATGAAGATAAAGCTAAAACCAAAGATGTTCAATCTGCCATTGGACCCATGGGTCATCCTACAATTTGTCGCCCAGTGGCACGTGTTAGTGCATTCAACATTTATAGCCCTCCAAGCAGCTCAAGAAGCAAATCTGGAATGTCAAGGGCAATACCTACTCAAGGGCCTCTAGTTCATGCTCCCTGGTCAGACTGTGGAGTCTGCAAATTGCTTGAAGATCTTCATGTTGAACCTATGGTTCCTTTGCAATGTGGGTTTGGTTGCTGCTCAACTCCTAGTGGGAGCCATTCAAAAAGATCATTGCTGGGACCCGACTTTGTTGAATATGAAGAATCCCCTGCTTTCTCAAGTCATGAATTGATTTCAATAGCCACTGATCTAAACAATATTGCTTGGATCAAGAGTGGCCTTGAAAATGGTAGTATTGGAGTACCAAGTCCTGCAACAGACCAGAGAATGTCTCGTAGGACTGCATCAGGCTTACAACTGGGAATATCAGATCCGTGTATGAAAAATGACCATATACGTTTTGAGGATGGACGGAACAAGCTGATGGGCATGATGGCAGAAGTTCTACCAAGTCAGATGTCTAGACAAACATTTGGAGTGAGAGCTGAAGTGGAGGCCTGAGCTAAAACCTGTACTAAATTTTATTTCGCTTTGCTAAATTTCATATATTGGAATATAGGTGACTTATATCTGCTTGATTATGTAAGACCCCTATTTGATTTTATGAAGAGGTAGCTCAAGTTGCTCAAAGACCCCCTATTTGATTTTATGCCTCTATCTGTCTTTAGCCTAAGTTTCAAAGTTGAGATGATTGTGGAAAATAATGCGTAACATGGTGCCCTATATCCATCCGTGTAGTGGTTCTATGAATCATGAATCACCTGTGAAAAATCAATGCTTCACACTTCACCCTGTGCTGGTGTATAAATTGATGGTAATGATGGTTTCCTTGCTCCTTTTTGTTTAGCCGATTGAACTAGGGAGAATATTAAATGAAGACGTACTGACAATGGTTTCTATATTGTGTCTCTCTAGATTTGAATTCTAAGAATGGTTGGAAATTGACCTCAGTTTTTGCTTAGTTAGCAAGTGAAATTTTATTTCTCACCTTAATTATTCGATTTAAAAAAAAATTAATAAAAAGAAATGTTTTATAAAATTTTTAATTTTAATATAAATGACTTTTTTTTGTACTAAGGAAATTAAAAAAAAAATGGAGTGGGAATGCAGAATAAAAGAGTTTAAACTTCAGTAATATAGGTGAAACATTTATATATTAACCACACGAATCACATACTAGAATTCAATTTTAATATAGATGATTTGTTTTTAATTGAATTAAAAAAATTAATGTTAAAGTATGCATACACTAAGTTAAAGAACACCATAATGGTTAAACTTAAAAGGAAAAGAAAAGAAAAAAAAAAAGGGTTCTGTAAGAGCCATGAGCGTGGTAGCAGGTTGGTCCCTCCTTTGTAAGTCTCCACATAACATATCTGACAAAAACATATACTTTTGACACCCTCTAATGATATGTAGATGCGGTAAAAATCTAGTTTCCTCAAATTATTTCATGTTGTAAATCACATGCTGACCCCCTAACAAAACCCTCGGCCGGGATTATTCTACTTATAAGAACGGGGACAATCTTGACCATTGACTTTGCAAAACTCTCAAATCAACCTTTTAAATATCTGTAGGGATAAATTTATATTTTTAAAAAATATAAAGATAAATTATTTTTTAAATTATAAATTAAAGTAAATTATTTATTTTTAAAAAAATCTAATCCATTTTTTATTAAAAAATACTTATATAGCAAACCAAATTTTTTTAAAAAATACATAATTTATTTTGATTTATAATTTTAAAAAATAATTTATTTTTACTTTTTTTTTTTTTAAATGAATTTGTTTCTTTCCCTGGGGTGAATTTGGAGGTTTCCCAATTAAAAACAGTTGCAATCACAAAAAGGCCAGAGAGAGAGAAAGAAAAGACAGAAAAATCTGCCGCAGAGTTGAGACATGGTAACACCGAATACGTATACTTTCTGCTGTCTCACGGCAAAAAAAACCAAATTCTTTACTTCACTTCAATCAAAATCATTGTCCAAATCCCACTTTCCCCCCCATTTTTTCTCCATCTCACAATGATTAGCTGTCTCTGTGCAGATAAAAACTCCATCTTTCTTCTCAACCCTCTGAGATTTTTTAGCCAAAATTGAATTTGTATAATAGAGTATGTGATTTTCTTCTCAATTAGATTTTTCTGGGTGTCTCTCTCATGCATGTCCTGTCCCTAACTGACACACGAGAGAGGAAAGAGGGACACACAGAGACCACCTACCACACTAGAACTGTAGAACAGTACTGGTTGTTCCATATCAAGTCAAAGGAAAGCACATTTCTTTTCATTGCAAACCTGAGGTTTTGAGGTCTAACATAGAGTTTACCTCAGGCTTTTGGTAAGCATTAATGATCCCTGGCTTGAGGAACAGTTACATGAAGATTCTCCATCTGGGTCTCAAAAATGGCAGCTTTGCAAAATCCCCAAGTTGTTGTTCTTGATGTGGATCCTGAGGAACAAGAAAACCAGGAGAGGAAGCAGAGGAGCTCTTCTTCAAGTGATGAATCTGGCATTGAGATCAAGCAAACGGGATCATCTGTGTCAGAGAGCTCTGTGGAGGTGGATCTGGAAAGTGGGGTGCAGGAGACAATGGTAAATTTGGAAGAAATTGAGAGGGATTGTAGGATTTGCCATCTAAGCTTGGATACAACTAATCAAGAATCTGGTGTCCCCATAGAGTTAGGTTGCTCTTGCAAGGATGATTTGGCTGCTGCACACAAGCATTGTGCTGAGGCCTGGTTCAAAATCAAGGGAAACAAGTAAGTAGCTAAAGAATTCCCCTTTTGGTTCTTGGAGGTACCCATTTGTTAGCTCTTGGCATTCTGTGAGTTTTCTAGGTTCTTGAAATGTGATTGAACTGGAAATATTTGTCTTCATTGTCAAAAATTTCTTCTGGATATTCTGCATTTGTGGCATTTGATTGTACTATAGTACCAATTTGTTGAATTTGATGCTATTCTGTCAAAGAACTGTTCTTGGTTTCCAGTGGAAATGAATAGCTTACCTAAATTGTCTGATATTTCCTTCTTAGATAGTAATAAATTGTCAAAATGCTTAGTTTCTATGTGGATCCATGCTCTAGGTTGAAGTAGTAATAGTCTAAATAATGTTATATTTCTTTCATTGATAGTGAATTGCCAAGATGCTTAGCTTTTATGCAGATCCACGTTCTTGTTTGAAGTAATGATAGTCTGAAGCTGGTATTTTTCTTTGATCTATCAGTTTTAGCTGTGAGCACAAGGTGGATGAATCTTTTCTTTTCGTAAGTGAAGGTAGAAAGAACCTAGTTTGTTGCAGCAAACAAGTAATAAGAACATAAAGACGAATGGAATCTTGAATTTGTTAGAATAAAGGAAACTAAAGCAAATTCTATGAAATATACGGTAAAAAGATTGAACTGTCAAAACATCTTGCCTGTAATTCCAGCTCTGAGAATTATTCTTTCCATTACTTCACTCTATTAGAAGTAAATTCTGTCAAGGATTGCATAAATTTCTCTTACTATTTTCATCACCATCACTATCTTGGGGAATCAAATTTCCATTCATTGATTCAGCATAAGGTTTGCTGAATGCAATTTTCTTTAGGCTTGTGTTCTAACTTGTTGATTTCTTCGGAATTGGTAGGACTAATCTCGAACATCTTCTCAGAATGATACTATGATGTCTTTTACAAACTATATAGTTTGATTTTAACTAACAATAGTGTATTATGTTGATTCTGTATTTCTGTTAATTGTGCATAAGTAGATTGAAAGCTGTTCTACAAACAATTTTCACTCTACAGATGTTGCTTTTATACATAGCATCTCTGTAGCAATAAAGACAACTTTAATCTGCTAGTTGAATTGATGAATTTTCCCTGATTAATTCTATTTACATTTATTACAATTATAATATGTGTACTTATTGTAATTTTCTTTCTGATTATATCTACATGCAGAACCTGCGAGATCTGTGGATCAATTGCACGCAACATTGCTTATATAAATGAGGGTGACTTGACAGAGCAGCGCAATGAGGCAAATGATTCCACCATATCAGCGCAAGCGGCAGCCATGGTGCTCCCTACAGAAACCCGAAGCTTTTGGCAGGGCAATCGGTTCCTGAATTTCCTCCTAGCTTGTATGGTTTTAGCCTTTGTCATCTCTTGGCTCTTTCACTTTAATGTTCCCTCTTGAATGTGGCCTTTTCATCGGATATCTGACGATTGGGAACCATACAAGCCCCTCAATTCTTAGCATTAGATGTACATTCTTTCTACCACCATGTTTCCTTGCTCGCTATTGGATTGAAGTACTACTTATTTCCCAATGTTCATGCTGTACATATCAGTATCAAATGTTGAACGTCTTCTATATTTCGCGTCGCGCGAATGTTGGATGTATTCCTCGCGACCTGGAATGGTATCGTTACTGTTTGTAACTTTTATATGCTTTGCCATAGTGCAGCTTTCTCTTTTTGATCACAGTCTCTCGTGACAGTAATTGTGATTGGTTGTTTTCATTCAGTAAGAGTTTATGAATCAGTATACACCCATTAATTTTCATGCCACGTGATGTTAAGTCAGTTTATTAGAGACATTCGACGCCAATTAATTATTATAGCGAGCAAGGAAAACGGTATTAATATCCTCGCAGTCCAAATTCTATTCTGTGGATATATAAAGAGTTCACTACAGCTACTCCAAGTCTAGCAAAAAAAAAAAAAACAGAAACAACTCTACAATAACTTTCTCGTGCTATCTATAGCAATATGGCTTCTGATTTTGAGAATTGGGCAGGCACGGTGGACTTTCTGTACAACATGCTTTCCTTTCTTGAAGAAGACGAGCAGGATTCAAAGATGAAAACCTCAGACTTGAGAGCAGAAGTGGATGCACATGTCCAGCTGATGTACATCAACTACCTGGATGAACTGGAGAAGTTATTCTATAAAGATCAGTTTTACCAACCCCTTCCGCTCGCCAATTTTCTCCAGAGTTTGAACCGCAAGTAACATGTAGCATCTCAGGGGCAGGTACATACCATGTAGCGTTCGCCTCTATCAGAGGTACTCGTTTATCCATTTGTATGCTTTAATACCAGTTTCAGATGTAAGAAAGTCTTTTTTGTTCTTTTGGTACAAACATCTTTCATATTTTGCGTCGTGCTGTTGGATTTATTTCCTCGCGACATGGAATGGTATCATTACAGTTTGTCGCTTGTATTTGCCCTCTATTTTTTTTCAACAAAGTACAATTGTTGGGACTAGGAAGTGAGGAATATATTTGCTCAGTTCCCATGTCATATTTACCGGTTCAGCTTGAGACCGGGATCAGTAACAGGCTTGTGTGACTACATATTGGTTTGTTACAGTGGCGGCTATCGAACCGAACCGGTCCTAATGGGCCGGTACGGTTTCCCCTCACCGTTATGAAAGGTTGTCGGTAATCGGTTATCAACTAAAATTGAACGGTAATCCAAGCGTTAAACCAATACCGACCTGTAACACCAAAAATTTTGATTTTGAGTCTTTTTTTTTTTATTCAAAGTTTTGCTTGCAGAGTGATGTAATCCAAATCTATTCATACTTCAAATATTACAATATTTGTGACAGAATTGGACTTGAAGCACCGAAATAAACTCGAAGAAGAATCAAATGAGAATATCCTGGAACAAAGTAATTTATGTAGGGTTAACTTATGATATCAATTTCTTGAATAAAAACACATGACAGAATGAAAAGAACATACCAGAAGTGGAGAGATCTCCAATATAATATTGGCCGTTGAAGATCATGTAAGGGGTATTAGTTACGAAATTGGTAGTGGAAAACAAGTTTGTTGACCATGGCATTGAAAAATCTAAAGAAAAAATTTGAAGATTAGAAGAAAGGAAGTGGGAAACAGAGACAGGAATAGAGGTCGTTGGCTGAAGATAGAGAGGGAATGAGATTTAGACTCTTGGGTATCTGCTCTTTTTTTTTTTTTTTTTTTTGAATCAAATTCGCAAAGAACCGAATTCGAACCGTTGTACTGGGATGAAAGAATGCACTTATACGTGATCTGACACCACTGAACCCAAAGGCCCAAGTACAATCTCGAGACTCTTTAAATCAAGGGATTCTAGAAAATCACATTCTTCTAGACATTGTCTAGTCAACTAATCCCTACATTAAAGGAATAAACCATCGCATTTAAAGAAAGACAGGACCAAAACAGGATCAACCCACCCTTGATGCAAGCAGGGAGGTTACAGTCCTCAATTTTGCAGAACGGCATAACCGTGTGACCGATCCAAACCAAATCGTCTTTTTTCATGCAGTGTGACAAAAGTACTTTTATGTTTTACGTACTAGCTCTTCTTTGCGTTGATATTTTATGGAACTCGTTGAAAAAAAACAGAGAGTTGTTTTTTAACACTTAAAAGTTCCTATAAGCGAGTTAAAAAAAGGCCAAGAAAAGGCTAGCAGCTATAGAGACACAAACAGGATACACACACACACGTACATATATGTTCTACTTGTTTGTGGAGACGGCGTTGAATCAGTATACACAATGAATCCATTTGAATCTCCAAGCAAGTCATTTGATTCATGGATCCCTTTTGATGAAAATCCTGACAATTGAAAGGAATTGATCAACAAAAGAAAAAACAAATAAATAAGAACTTTAGCAAGGCCAAGTATAAATCAAAAACCACATGTTCAACATTTAACAGTTATCAATAAAAACTAAAAACAAATAGGCATTCTGGCTTCTGGGAACCAGTTTCATTAGAAAAAGGATTTACATTGCTTCCCAAAGAAGCCTGGATCTGGATCCCTACAAGTTGCAGGCACAGTGCACTTGGGTGAAAACAGAAAGGATGAGAATTACTCCCAGAGTTCTTAGAGTATACTCCATACATGAGTTTCAAAATCAAGATAGTCATGAACAGAATGGGGTGTTCTGCCTGTGCATACAGTAAAGTTAATGCCAAAAGATATCCCATATAATTCACAATCTTCAGTTCTGCAATTTCAGTTAAATTGTAGGAATACAAGTATAGAGCTGGGTTCTTGGGAGCTAATTCCTCCACTCTCAGGCCAGTTTCCAGTTAAATAATTAGATGGTTATCAAAAAAGGAAAAGAAGGCAGGATTTGGAGAATAAGCAGGGAACAGATTCAAATGCTAAGAAATACTCAACAGAAAACAGCATCTTCAATCATATCAATGATCCAATCATCCAATCATAAAGGACACAATAGAGATATTATATCACAAGAAGAATCAAAACTGTGGGGACTAATTATAAACAAAATATTCAATAGCCATAAACCCAGGGAAACTGAGCAAATATTGAACAAAAAGATACATGGAAACCTGGTTAGATTTCTTTAACAAAATAAGTTAACAAAAGCTCAAAAACAAAGTTGGCAAAAAATTGCTAGTGAGAAATAAGTCAAATCACCACATTAATAAAACAAATCAAAACATCATGCCATCACTAAAAAGAAAGCCTATATCAACAAAGCAAAGAAATAAGCCTATATCAACAAGGCAAAGAAATACAATCATCAATGGAAAAGCCAGGAACATCATACCATAAATATCCTATTAACCATGAAATCATTTCCATTTCTCATATGTTATTACACGACACTAGTGATCCAAGATCAAACAAAATTTAAGAGAAACAATGAAATGAAACAAAAAAACTCAAAAACTATTAATGAACTAAAAAATGCTAACAGTCATGCATACCTCAAAGGCTCAAAGTGAAATTACTCCACTTGAAGCTGCCCCATAGTGAGCAACCCCTGCCTACGCCTGAGATCAGTCCTCCTCGTCACTCTCATCACTAAAGTAACTAGTTTTCCGTTTCTTCGTATCCTCCTTATTCTCCTCCACCGTCCCTCTTTTCAATAACCTCTCTTCTGCTCCACCGTCCACCACCGATGCCCAATTATCATCCTCGAACGCCTCCCCAACATCCGATCCATCATCTCCGCAATCTCCACTGTCCACCCTCCTTCCAGTTCCAGCCCCACCTCTACGCTCCCGTTTGGGTACCGGCCTCTCCCTCGGCCCCAGCTGGTTCTTAGGGCACTCATACGACAAGTGTCCAGAATCCCCGCACTCATAACACCTCGACTTGTCCCTGTAGACCCTTTTTCGAATAAATTCTGGAGCCCGACCGTTGTCCACAGCGATTGAGGCGGATAGAGTCCGACCATTTAGGACCTTCCCGTGCATCATACGCACTGCTGCTAGCGCATCCTCACGTGATACGAACTGAATAAAGGCGACACCGCGAGACTGGCGGGTGGAGCGGTCCTTGAGAATGGTAACACGGGCAATTTTGCCGAAGGTAGAGAAGAGGGTATGGAGATCGGAATTAGTGAGGGCGTAGTCGATATTGGAAACGTAGAGGGTCGACTTAGAAGGCGCAAGCCCTCCTGAGCCCTTGGTTTTGCCGTTGCCTTGGGGTCCACTATTGGCGCCGGTCGACGAAGACGGTGGGGCTGAGACGGAGGAGTAGCGATAGTAAAAGGTTTCATCTTCATCGCTGTCACTGTTGCTATTCTTTTTCCTCTGCGCCATTTTTCTTTTCTGACCCATCTAGGGGTTTTCCAAAAGACTTAATTCGGCTCCAAAGTTACCAAAAAGAAAAAGGACTATTCCTCCCTGTTACAAGCTCGACCCAAATTTTGTTGGGCTTGGTATATCCAGTCCAAATTTTGTTGGGCCTGATAATTTGCATGGTTACCGGCTAGGGGACAAAAAAGAAGGAAGGTATGAGATTTTAATTGAGATTCAACCAAAAAAACCTCCCCTTCTTCCTTATAAGGATTGGGTCTAGCGTTAAAAAAAAAAAAAAAATCTAATTAAGGTTCCGTTTGATACAACAATTTGAAAGTAATGAGTAATGGTTTTACTTAAACTGTTTAGAGTAAGTGTTTCTTAAAAATTCTCAAGTGGCTTTGCACGAGGCAAATTTGGAAACGAGTATGTCACTTACTTTGCTATAAAGTAAGCAAGGAGAATTTTCCCAACGACTCTCTTCTTCCTTGTAGTCGACCTCCTTGCGAATAATTAGAAGAACGTTGGTTTAAAATCAAAATCTACGCTTTCAAACGATTTGCAAGAGGGAAGGATGCCTTCTTGCAGAATTGATTGCTAAATCTGCTTTCAACATTTCCAAGGATTTAAACACTACCGTGAATTAAAATTAACAAATTCTAAATAAACTAAATGTCATGCAAAGTAAAGTAGTTACCATTTCTACATAAGAGTTGATGGACCTCAGAGGTAGGTTGCAATACCATGTCTGACCATTACCACGAAGGGTTGAGGGAAATATTTTGCACATCAGGGCATCTAAAGCATTCTAGGATTGCATGCAGGAATAGAAAGCATGTAAATGATCATTTGGGTCCTTAGTTCCATCATATGTCTCGAATTGCGGCATTTTGAACCCAATTGGATAAGGTTGCCTGAATAATATTAAAGTTCAATGGATGTTGGCACTAACTTAACATTGTTTTAAGGCAGTGGAACACCTCGTTGTTCGGCCATCATTCTTTCCAAGCTATCAAGACATCTAGTAATGTCATCTGGCAAGGCTGGTTGAGGTGGAACTACATGGGATTGGCCTTGGGACTCACTCAAGGCTGGGGCATCTTTGTTATCATTGGAATGAATGTTATGTTCTTGTTGAACTGGGGGTTGCTGAACTGGATTCAATATATTGATGAAAGGATTGCTAGGATTATTTCTAGTTAGGAGCTGGGCTAACACTAGTTGGAAAACCCTAAACTGTTGTTGCATTGTTGTAAGCTGAGCTGCAATTGCATCTCCTTGGACGAGAGCTGGGTTCTGAGGTTGGTTCTCATCACCTCTTTTAGTATGTTGTTCCATGTGAGTGGCTAGGTTTGGAGTGGATTGCAAGAAATTATTAGTGTTCTATGCTTGACCTTGGCCAACAAGGTTGCGTTGACTTCTAATACGAGCAGAGCAAGTATTAACCATGTCACAAAGGCAATAGTAACAAAGCTTTTAGTTTAGTTCCCACAGATGGTGCCAAATATAATTGCAACAAACCAACAAGTCCTTCCCAATCTAAATCTTCTCTTTGAACAAACCTACAAAGCCTCGAGGTTAGTCCTCGAGGTATACACTCTAATGTTAAAGTCAGTATTAATTTGGTGTACTCTTAAAAAAGAATGGAAAAGAAGTTTTAGGTCAATTTCAATTACTTTTAGGAGGTGACCCTCGGGGGTATTTATAGGCCTTAATGAGGTATCCACATGGCTTTTTTAACAAAATAATCAAGATCTACGGTGTCCATAAGAACAAGGATCTCGGGAATGAGTGATCAGGTGAGTGCATTTTCACTACAACTATCATGTAATTGGGAAGAGCGCGACTTGAGTCTCACCTCGGTCATCGAATAATCCGAGCTTGAACAATAGTAAGGTTCATGCTCTGATATAAAAAATATGTCCAAGATTGATGATCTCAGACCTATCTTTACACGTTGCCATGGATTTCATTGTCAAAGAGATGTCAGTGATTGCCTAGGGTTAAAATGGTTAAATCTAGAGTCGTTTAAGAATGCAATTCGAAGAAACTTGCAAACATTGATTACATTCAAGAGGTTACTCTCTGCATCTACATCCAGAGAGCTAAAACCATCCTCTGTTCTTTTTGCTATGCATTCTGCCCCTGAAGAGCTATCAGCGATCTCCTAAGGTTAAAACAATTATATCTAGAGTTGTCTAAGTATTCAATTTGAAGAAACTTACAAACATTGATTACATGGAAGAAATTAATCTTTGCACTAGAAGAGCTCTTGGACCAAGATTGTTATGGTCCAATTCAAAATCAAGGAGAAAGAAGAGAAAGAATCTAGAATCAAGAGAAGAATCAAGGAGAAGTAGCAGAGAAAGATAAAGAATCTAGAGAGAGAGGGAGACAGAGTCAAGAGAGAAAGGAAAAGGAGGGAAACCATTTCAATTTTTTTACCAAATGCCCTTGAATCTAGGTACATTTTTCCTTTTATAGCCTAATAGATTAGTTAAATTTCTAAAGGATTTTTTATGTAATGCTTTTAGAGCATAGAATAAGGGTGTAATAAATATAATTTTTTATAGTTGACTTTTATTAAAAATATAATTATCAACTTTAATTTAATCAATTAAAATTATTTATGTGTTAATAGTATTAAAACATATATTAATTTTTATAATTTTTAATATAAATTAATTATAAAAAAATATATTTATTATACCCTTAACTTATATTTTAAATATACAAATTAAACAATCTCATTTCTAAAATTCCCTGGTTAACAACTTGGGCGTCTAACAATAACGGAAACCATTCTCTCTTCGCCCATCGCTATGGACTCCCTCCGTTGTGGACGTGTTGTCGGTGATTGCACAGGGCTATAACGGCTATGTACAGAGGCCCGTAAGAATTCAAATCAAAGAAACAGAAAAAAAGGATGAATTTTTTCTTTTTTGGCCATAATGAAGCGAGTTAATTGGGCCTTTATATCGGCTCTCGGCTCTATTTTGTTTTGGCTAAGAGGTTGGGCCAATGAAGTGGGCTTACGCAAGTTGAAAGCTGGCCCATTTCCTCCTTTCATCTGCTTTTAAAATTTTTTTCTTTTCTTCTACTTCCAGAACTGTATTAACTATTACCAATTCTTACAGAAAATTAAAGAAAGGAACATTTATTCACTTAGGCATGATTCTACATGCACTCAGATTTTCAAACCAAAACAGAACACTAGCTAGACATTTTACAAAAAAAAAAAAAAAATACACTAGACATCATTTTCGGCATATAGATACGTCACTACTAAAATCTTGGGTTTTACCAACAATATATCAGCAACATAGGATTGTTTGTTGCTAAAAATTGTTGGAAAAATAGGGCAGAAAATCTGCAAATGACTTCAAGGCGTGTTGCAAATGCCACTTTCCTTTAGGCTAATTTCACCCCCACCAGATCTAGTATGCAAAAGGAGTAACCCGAAATGCCCGTAGGATACAATGAAGCGCCTTGTTGATCTTGCTTTTGCACTAGCAAGATCAACCACTGAAC